CAATCAAATAAAATCTTTAATTGGTCAGTTTATTTTTGCTGTCAACAAGAACACTGTAAAATTGCTTGATTAGTACTTTTATTCAAAGAATGTTAAAGCATATTGTTGCTGGTGAGCAAACACTATATAGTATTTTTATTGGCTATTCAATTTTGCTCACATGGTTGCAATCTGGATCGGATTAAAAATCACGTGTAACTACACGGCTTTAACGAACTCCCATTTATAGTAACTTTTAAGTGGTCACCTGATAAAAATATTCAAATCTGTATTTAGAAACGGTTAAGAGTTAACTGAACATGCATCTTTCTTTTCAAAGTGCATTATTAGCGTTGGTAATAAATTTATAATTAATTACTTACGTATAAGCTTTAAAGTTCAATAGAGATCTCCGAATTTCGTATTTTTGTGAGCCACTACGTATCGATATATAAACTTTATTTTTACCAAGAACACAAAATCTAGTCAATTAATTTATTTGTTGCATTTTTCTATTGAATTAATTATCGTCGATCATTATCGTTATCGCAATTATATCAATATTTACACTATTAATAATTAAGATGCCAATTTCAAATACATTCACGTTCAAGACTGATCGGAAGCTGAAACATTTAAATTAATTTGTGACTTGTTGAAGCTGCTAAAAATGCTTGATAATGTAAAACTATACATTTATTTTCTCAACTACAAGCACAAGTAATAATTACAAAAGTGAGAATTCAAAATTTATAGCAACGAGTGTGATTACGAAAGGAACCTTTGTCATGTGAATTAGAAATTTTTCACTTGAATAATCGTAACACTACGTATGTATCTGCAAATAAACCATCGTGATAGATAAACAATGTTACCTTTTCACTATACGTACAGGGATAACGATTTCTCGAATATAAATATAAAGATGCCTTAAAAGGACTAATTATGTTAAAGCGATAGTAGAGAATATCACCTAATAATTAATAACGATAATAATTAATATATATACAAACTAATTACATAGAGCTTTGCTGGAATAAGAAATATGGGTAATATATGGTCGAAAAGCTCGCCAAGAACTTCGCATCCACCAAAAAAACCAACTTTTGATATTTTAAAGGTAACAAAAAATCTATTTGTTTGTAAACGAAATATTACTTTTATCGATGCTAAGTGAAAATACGTAAAAATAAAGATTGACGCGGTGGATTACGAACGTATTCAATGGGAACAACGATTATTTAAAGCATTTTGGTATAAAAACTTTTCGGCACCTGTTCACAATTTATTGAATAGCAATGGAACAAAAGTTCTAGAAGTTGGTAAGTTTGTAAAGAAAAAATCTATTTTTTTCATACATGGGAAATAATACTTTTTATTGTTGATTTAGGTCCCGGAAGTGGTATTTGGTATGGAAAATATTGAAATTTTATAATCAAACTAATACATGTATTAGAGTTTGTAGTGATTTATTGTTTCATTTAAAAAAAAAGGGCAGCCGATATGGCAACCGACTTTCCTTTAACACATTTCACGTGTTTCGACAGACCGTCAAACTCTGCATGCCCGGTGAATACTCGTAATGTGGAATTTGTTCGTTGGGACACAAAAGACGGCGGTTTACCGTTCGATTCAAATACGTTCGACTACTGTTACGCACGGTCTGCTTATTTGTGGATGAATTTATGTAAAAAGAAGATGGCCCATGGTGAATATGGAATAAATGAGTTAGTACGAGTTTGTAAACCTGGAGGATGGATCGAATTATTAGAATTTAAATTTCAAATTTATGATGCAGGACCAAGAAGTTCCGAAATAATGAAAAAACGTAAGTTTTTTTATGTTTTTAATTGAATGATTTTAAGAAATTTCTTTAAAATATTGTATTGCATGTATTTCTAGTTCGACTAACGGTCGGATCTTACACAGATCTAGACATATCTGATAAAGTTGAAGAACTTTTACATGATACTGGACGATTAACGCCCATTCGATATTATGACAAAGTTATGCCATTGTATTTTAAAGATGGAAAAATCGCAGAATTAGCGGCACAATACTTATTACCCACCATAATAAAAATGAGTGGTTTGTCTCAAGAACTGTCACCTGAAGAGTTCAAAGAAACACATAAGCTTTTATATTATGAGTGTAATCAATATGAATCATATATGAAACATAATATATTTTTGGCACAAAAAATCAGGTAGACTACGTATTTAGAATCTTTCAAAAATTTTGTATAATAGTGTATATTTATTCGACAAAAAGCGAGTAAGAGTACTACGATATTGTAAGATATCTTTAAAAAAATGTAGTTGATCGATCGAGATCAGTCATTCGTGTATTAACGTTAAATAAAAATACACAAATCCATATCACCAATCACAATCCATCCTCAACATGACACGCTGAGAAAGATCATTCAATTGGCTTGAATTAAATGAATTACATGTACATGTATTTAGTTATACTGTGTTGTGGTCGTTTTGTAACAACCAAATACGTACCGGTACGTAATTACTGCACACGCTCAGATAAGCTTATCATGAAAATTCTGTTGTGTTTGATAAACTTTATTACATGGATCGGTACATACAATTTTTAAATTGATTGCATTGCAAATAATATCGATATGATATAGTAAACATAACAATAACGACAGGGCCTTAATTCATTCTTATGATGAAAGTTTCTTTTATCGCGATAATTTATTTGATATTTGATTTGTGTCGGAAAAAAAACTCATGGGAATTTTCTTTTAACGTGTCTTATACCGAGAATCAGTTGTAGTCAGCTAAAGAGAAGTATCTTCATCGGGATAAACGTAAAAAGCAAGAGCGATAATCGTGTACGTGGAAAGCAATAAGATACCTTCCAACCAATTAGATTTTCCGTCCTTAATTAAATCAACAATAATACATAAGTAAAAGGTTCCGATTATTAGTTATAGAAGGAATGGAAGTTAAGTAATAAAATACCTGAATAAGATAATTCGTTATCAAAACCGAAATAAATAGAATAACTGTTTCAAACACATCAAAGAACAATGTCATGGGTTGATCGATTATCCAACCCAAGACTACCAAAAATGGAGTAATAAAAAGTGCAATTTGCTACAATATAATAAATAATTGCATGTTAAACCATGTTAAATAGTCGTCGACACCTCAATATACCGTACCATAGAACTTCCAGCCGCAACACCAATTGCCAGATCCATTTTATCTTTCATTGCCACGGTAACTGCAGTAACGTGCTTAAAACAAAATATACTTATTTAGTAATAAACTCCTCAAAAAGCTGATATACATTCAGGGTTATTATTACCTCTGCTGCATTACCAACTATCGGTAATAGAATAAGACCAACAAAAGTCCTACTCAAACCCGAAGATTCAACGATACCTTCGATCGAATCAACGAGATATTCGGCACAGAATGCGACTACAAGTGTGGCACCTGCCAACAATCCAAGTGATAACGGCAAAGTAAGTTGCGGCTCTTCTGATTCTTCTGGTTCTGTGTTTTCGCCTTCCTCTGCAATTTCTGCATAAAGATGTTTATGAGATATCAACTATGAAAAAAATATCTAATTTGTTAGCTTTTCAATTAAAAAGATCATTTTTTCTATATACCATATAGCACTGCTTGAAGTACCCTCCACTGTAACCTTAATTTTCAGTAAAACAAATTATTCTTCTGCCACAGTACAATTTCTTATTACTTTGAGGTTAAATTAATTACAGGGGAGGGTACTTTAAGCAGTGCTATATGGTTCAAAAGAATAATACTTGCTTGAAAATATAAATAAAATCCATAAACAACTAGCAAAACAACCGCCGTTCCATGACTTAAATTGAGGATTTCTTTTTTGTCGTCGGCACTTACAGCTGCATGCAATGCAGCGGGAATAATCAGAGCAATACATGCTAGAGTCAACAAACTTGAACTGGTTTGAGCTGCTGTCTGATTGAAAATTTGTTCTGATTTGTAATATCCGCCTGCTACGAAGCACATTCCTAATACCAACAACAGATTTGAGATAATTGAACCCAACATTGAAGCTTGAACAACTCGTATTTGGCCTTGACGAATAGCAAAGATTGAAATAATCAATTCGACAGCATTTCCAAATGTTGCGTTCAAAAGACCACCAATTGTCTAAATAAATACTCATTAATGGTATTTAATATCGAATTTCGGACCTCAACGAATTCATACCTGACCAACTCTCATTGCAATTTCTTCCGTGGCTAGTCCCAAAAGTTTTGCAAGCGGAATAATGGCTAAAAAATTCAGTGAAAAAGTCCAAGTCTCGCCCCAATCCAAATAATAAGAAATAACTCCTAATGGGACGAAAACCAAAAGAATATTTAGCCAAGAGGCCTTAATGATATTGACAATGGATTGGCTTGAAGTGGGACTTGATCGACGTGAAGGTCCTCGTGTCCCATAATCAGCGTTAGATCCAGCAGATGGTAATGGAGTATGATCATTAGAATTATCAACGGCAACAATGGTATCTTATATCAATATAAAAATTTAAAAATTTAGCAAACGCTAATATTAACGTTAACGTTAATAAAAATTTGCATACCCATATTCGTAAACTGTTTCGAAAAAGAATAAAAGGCGCCAATATTTATATTTTGATACCAAATTTGGATGACATCATACAAGCCCTTACCTCATCCCAGAAGGGTATAGATTTCGATAAAGTTAAGGGATACGTACATTGAGTTAGGATGTACGAAATATGTACGTGTATGCTTTACCCGATTTAGATAGCCTAATTGAATGTAACGGTAACGGTAAACAATAGCAAGTTTTCATACATGTATCGGTTATATCGATATGATTTCAGAATAGATTTAGCGTTAGAATAACTATCCCCTAGCGCTAGCATTACGTAGTCATACCCCTACTCCATTTAAATTCTGTGTCCATTTGGGGTGGAGTCAATAAATTGATATATATATATATATATAAGTTTATAATTTTCCGATAATTGAATTTTCAATTCCAGTCGTTACTAATTGGTCTAAGTGCAATAGAAACGGTGTAAATTATATTATAAAATTTACACCGTTTCTATTGCACTCAGCTCAATATAAAGTGCCGGAAATCTATAATCGCTAATCACGTGATAAAAAATAAAATGACTAATTTTTGTTTAAAAATTACATGTAGTTTGTTCTAGTGTTTTTTCATAATGCTTTGCCAACTACGTATCTGGTATACTGAAACGTCATTCTTTTCATAATCGCAAAATCATCTCCCTCCAGGACGTTGTACAGGCAACATCTATAAAATAAAATAATAAATATATTTATTTTGTCAAAATTCTAATTCTGAAGTACCAAATTGCAAAAACTCCTCTATAGCTAACTTCCGAATTACTTCACCTTTTCCAAATTATTTTAGAATATAACGTATACTAAGTCGAAAAATTTTATTGTCTGCGAATTTGTTCTGTGGCTAAAGTTTGAATGATCATCTTATATGCGGTGATACATTTTGAAGATCAACCAATCAGATTTAAGCTCGTTATGCTCGATTTGTAACATAAAACGCCTATAAATATGCAGGCATAGGCGTTGGTGGTGTAGTGGTTAGCATGCATGCCTTCCAAGCACGCGTCCCGGGTTCGATTCCCGGCCAACGCATATTCTGAAATTTTCATTTCACTTTTATGTGGTATACATAAGAAAAGGATGTCTTATTTTTAAATAAAAAAATAATTCGATAGTGGGAGCAATTTAATTGTTCTACAGTTTGGCATCTAAAGCATCCCAGCGCAACTTCATATTTCTTTAACGATTGAAAAGTCATCAAGTATCATATGAGATTCCAAAACAAATGATCGAGAATCTACGATAGCCGGATAAGTTCGTGGTCTCATTTCTTTTTCATATTTCGCAACGCAACTTTCCCATCCTTCGTCATCGAAATGAGAAAGAGCATATACGAGAGCATTCGTGTCAATAATTGCGTGATTCAGACCTGAAAATACCGAGAATATTTTATTTAAAGCCAATATAAATATGTTCACAAAGTTCTTAATAAAAACTATTATGATATTCATACAAGCCCGAGGTATCCATTCATAGTATGAATAGCATCCCCAAGTAAAGTAATCTTTGACAATTTCCATTCTCTAGGAAGTGTTTCTGAATCGAAATCCATAACGCTTCGTCTACGCAGTGGGATATACTGAATGGATAACTTGGATCGGGCGCCGTAGTACGAGGGACCATAATTCAAGAAGAATCGAGTTTAATTCACTGGGAGGTTCCTTTTTAATTCGGGAAGTAACCAGATCACTGGGACTTTTATCTGGACCAGAGACATCAAAATAGTGTGGAAGTGAAGAGTATGAAAGTGTCATTCTGAACCGTGGTTCAGGATTAGACTGGCATTAAATCGAACACAATCAAGTGCATTTGACCTTTAAATCCAAAGCAGTTAAGCATAAGATGTCCCCGAGATATCTTCAGGATTCGGTTTATCGTTCTTTCTGGAACCACAATGTTCGAAATCAGATAAAATAATTTGTAATCGACGGTTTTGATATTAGGAAATCTTTGTTTTTTCACTTTTTCAAATGAGAGCAAAGGTTAGAATGATGTAGTCAAAATTTAGAATGCTATGTTTTTACCTTGTGAATGAATCCCATCACATCCAATTAAATAATCACCAAGAACTTTGGATACATCGTCAAATAACGCTCACCATTATCTGTTTCTTCGTACCCACAACACCGTTTTCCCAATGAATTTCTATACCTTCTAACAACGTTTCACGAAGTTTATCTCGTGGCAAAATAAATCGCGAATATGGTGGAAGACTACACTACATGTATCATGTTTCTCAATATTTTCGACTTGTTGCGCTTCCATTTCCACTAAAATTTTGCCATGTTCTTCGATAAAACACAGAGAATTTCCCTCGAGGGTCAATGTTGGTCATAACTCGATTTAGTCGTGATAATAAATTCTGAGGATTGCAGAGATCAAGCTTCTTGATGCTTGTGGAATCAAAGTTACATGATATCCTTGCCAACGTGCTTTTATTAATGGTCAAAATTAAACTTGAATCGAGTAAGGATCAATTTTATAGTTTGACATTTCATAATACCAACATCGAGGTTCTTTATCGCGTTCATAGACAACAACTTTGAATTTTTCAGGATAATGTTTTTTGAGCGCTTGTGCCACCTGTAGTAAAACTAGAATAATTAAAAACACCTGCCAAATTTCAGTGAGCACAAATTAACTGACTTATGTCTCCACCGATAATAAGAATCGTCTTTGTCATTTAGTCGGAATGCCAAGTATTTAGTGTTAGTGCAAGATGTACATGTATAACGGATAGCGATAGCGATAGGTTGTACGCTACAGATTTAAATGTTGCCGGAAAAAACCGATTTTTTCCGTTTTCATCGTACAATTAGAAAGTCAATGCATTGTTTTCTAAGTTTTGCTAAATCTCAACGTTAACGTTAATGTAAACATTGGAAACAAATAAGTATTTCTTTCATATTGGCTATACTGTATATATTTTTGTTTATTTAACGTTAAGAAATTAACCTTTTGTGGTATTGAACACTTTAAAGTGTAAAAAAATTTCTACGTCTATTTACATTAATAACGATAATAATAGTTATTCATGTATACAATAACGATAAATAAAAATATAACGATAACGATAACGATAATAATAATAATAATAATAATACATGTGTGCTAAACAGCAAGATTTTCACCCATATCCCTTTTGTGTGCTCTTCGTAGTGGACTCGCGTCTAGAAAATAGTCTGTGAGTAACGATTCTAAGTCGTATATTCGGTCTTCGAGACGTGTTGTACGCTCTTCGTGTGTTAAATGAGCTACGTTTCTACTATATACTGGTGTAACTAATGGAGTATTCTCGGGGTCACCGACTTTTGCAATTTCCGATTTCATCATTCGGTGCATTAGTCCCCTATATCAAATAATACGAAGTTAGCTTTTGACTGAGTTAACAATTTATAATTTATTATTTACCAAGGTTTAGTTTTAGGTTCCCCGAATAAAAGTATGTAAATTCCACAGATCAATCCTACGCAAAAGTAGATAATATACGTTAGCGAACTAATAAATATGATTTAACGAAAAAAATCATATTTTCTCCATACCAAAACCGCCACCGGCGACGCCTAAAGAACCAAGAACAGTGTGTGATCTTTTCTCTGATTTCAATTCATGCACAAAGCTTCCTACCGCCACACTAAAATGCCCGGTGTCCGTGTTTTCTGTGAAATTCGAGTTATTTCCATGTAGTGGATAATACGTAGTCGAAGCCACAAAAATTGAAGTGTTATCATATTTTGGTACGAGTCCAAGAAGACCCTTAAAATCGTGTTTGGATATTATTCGATATGTTACTTTACGATATTTCACCTAAAGTAAATACATGTTAACAAAATTTATTGTATAAAAAAACTTTACTAAGTCTTGAAAACATGTAATACTTTTCTTACATTTGTCGAGTAATTTTGAATTCCAGCAAAATTATTACCCTGCAGTCTGAAATCGGCATCAATAAATTTCTCCATTGTTGTTGTTGGTATCGATTTATTCCAAAGAGGATTAAAATCAGGCGAGAATAATTGCATCGCTTGAATTCATACATTAAATATCAATAAGTCTTGCGCTTTAAAAAAAATATGATAAATTCTTCATACCTATAGTGGCCACCGAAACAGAAGCTTTAATCGCTGATGTAAGATTCGTAATTTTATAATAAAAATCGATATTTACAAGCGTATCCGGAACATCATCCATCCCAAACAACGCGGTATAATTTGTTGTGAACAAGTAACAGAAAATACTTGGATCTGGGCGAGGTCCCGGGTATACATATTGAAATCCATCTGGCGTCATGCAATTTTTATATTGTGAGATTGTCCAATTTCGCCATGTAAAATCACATCGAACAATTTCAACATCACTGTTCCATCCACATATCTCAATATCTTGAAAATTAAAAAAACGTCAGGAAAAACACGTTTGACCTTTTTCTCATTATTGACTCCAGAAATTATAAAAACCTGGTGCATCCATTGTTGATAAGAATTCATGAGCAGGTTGTATTACTGGGATATCAGTCCAGATTTGGTATGCCAAAAAAGCCAGGTAAGAAGTGTATGTTAGTAGTACTAATGTCGCAGTGACAATTCGTACATAATAGAATGTCGACGTCTCCTTAAACTAAAGAAATGCACGTTAAAGACGAGAAATTAAAGTGAACGCTTGTAATCAACATCAAAGAGATTACCATCGTTCGCCCAGTTTTAAACATAAACAGCATTTTGTCATAACTATTTCTACTGGAAAAAGTGTGTGTCTTTACCAAAGAATGGAATAAATTTTTTTATTTAGTTTTTAAAAACGCATAAAACGTTAAATAATAATCTTGGCACAAATTCAGTTCTTTATACGTAACAATGATGTCACAAGCTTTTTACATGTATTTGTATATGTACGTATAATGATTTCCTTATTCAGAAAATCGAGTTTATCTACAGCTAAGATGACGCCGACTAAAGACGCATGCAAATAACGATAAAATTTGGTCGTTTTTCTTGCTGCCACAATATTTCAATTGTCTTCAATTAATTTAACGTTTTGGAGGGGAATATTGCGGGTTAAATCCTAGTTTTTTAATCATTGTTATCCCACGAATAGAGGATAATTTGTATTACACAAAAAATAGTTATTTGTAATACGGCGATAAACAAGTCTTTATTTGATTTCTTTTAATGATTAAACATTAATGACCAAGTCCAGAAAAGAAAACATAATAATTATTGACCATCTAGTTTGGGTTAGACCATTTTGTATCGCAATCGACTTTACTCAAAGAAAAAAGACGAACTGGCACGTCAAAAAAGTCCTTTTCTATAAATAACCTAGAACTGTTATTATTACGTATTTTATTCTATAAAATTTTGAATCATCTCGAAGAAAAAATTTATTTATCTCTACTAAACATTTTCATCTTTGTCGGAAGGAAATTCCATTACGCATCTTGTTACCCAAATAGAACGTACTGAATAAGCTTATAATGATATATATATTGTTGATTCACAAATAGCCAAAATTACATAAAGTGTAAAAGAAAATGAAATTCTGCAAAACTTCATTTTTCCTTCAAGCAGGACTATTGTTTCACCATTGACTCTTTGTTTTGATTGGTTCCTTGTTGTTGTGTTTCATAGAATAACTCTATATGGTTTCTTTCTGTCAACAATTAACAATTAAATTCATAATAGCGATAATAAATATAGTATATGTACAAAGCTCAAAAAATTACGGTGCATTTGTGAAAAATTGATTATCCATTACTATATATGGGTAATGTGTCTATATTTGGGTAGTATCATGTGACATGTGATTCGATCTGGATCATGTGATTTTAAAATCATGTGAAAATTCATGATTGGTCGAATCAAATCATGCGAACTATAACTCATTATTTAATTGTTAACGAATCGCTTAATTAAGAGCCTGATTATTATTATTTAATTGTTAAGCATGTTAGAAAATACATATTAATGGAAAGAAAAGATTAAAAATATCTAACTAATTAACTGTTTTATTGACATTAAATACCAAAATTATTTAAATTGCTATTTTAAAAACTGAATCCAATGATTTATCTAAATAGGTGATAAATACTTTAGTGACATTTGCATTATCTTTATTCATCATTATTCAGTATTTGTCTCATACTCTTTTCATAAGCTCATCCACCTACAATTTATATATTTCTGTTTCTTTCTTCTCTTGAGTCTAAACAGGTTCAGATATTTTGATCATTTTCCAGTACTTATATATTTCAAAGTCAGTCTTCGTGAGTAATTGTTGAAATTTCTCTCAAATATCAATTGTTAGCAACTTATTATAACTAAATAGATGCTCATAAAGAATATGTTAACAAGAAATAAAATAATGATAAAAGAATATTATTACATATTTTTTATTAATTATATAATTAACTAATAAGTATGAACTGGAATTGGAAAAAATAATTAAATAACTATAATGATAATAAAAAAATATATCTAAGTTTTATATTAACTTCTATTAAAATTATTATAGTTTAAAAAAAACAAAATATGAAAAAGAGAATATCTTGTCTTGTTTAGTAAGTATAATTAATCAGAACATTATTCACAAATCAAATACTATTATCTTATTTTCTAATTAATACAGTTATTTATAGTTATATCTCTCTATAATCATTCTACTTTGCTTTTTCATTTATATATAAATATAATAAAAAAATTTTCTATAGTCACATTCTCTCTATAGTTACCAAATTTTGTTTTTCCAAAAGTGATAATTATAGAGAGATTTAACTATATATCAATTAAAATATTAATTAAACTGCTAATTTTTTGTACTAATATAATTATATTTCAAAGTTTAATAATAATAAAGTCTCTTTTATTTTGTTCTTATCATAAGAAAGAGATTATAATATTTTTAGTTAAGAAATTTTAAATAATTTAATTATAACAAAAATATCAAAAGACTAGTTTATAACAAAAATATTAATTTAATAATTTAATAATATTATTTTAATTAGTTCAATATAATCCAAAGCTACTTGTTTACAAGTTTTGAAATATATAATTAAGAGAGAAAGATAAATTATTTAAGTATTAAAAAATATTTGTTTTTTTATTCTCAAGTTTGATATGTTAAGTCAAAATTTAACTACAACTTATATTTATATATTTTTTACAGATATAGATATAATATTAAAAACAAAAAAAATAAAAGATAAATATATTAATTAAAAATAGAATTCCAATTTACTAAATAAATAAGTTTCAGATATATTTACTCAGAATAAATAAATTGAAAAATATAAAATATAAAAATATAGTAATACCAGATAGAAAAATATAAATATAATAATTAATAATATAAAATATAATTGTAAAATATTATAAATTATGAAATTAATAATTTTTATAATATAATTATAACAATATGCAATAATAATTTATTAATATTAGATTTAATGATGGTTTTTCTTTTATAATCCTAAAATTTATAGCAATAATCTTATTTAAGATCAACTTTTAAATTGAATATGGAAATTTTTGAATTTTCTCAAGAATTTGTCATTAAAATCAATTGCAAAATTTATTTTTGGTGAAAGTTAAAAGTAACTTTTTCTGAATTCAGCTATTTTTTATTATTAAGCTTGATAATCTTGTAACATGCATTTAACAAATTAAAAAGCAGTAATTTAATAATAATAATAGAGAAAAATGTGATACATAATTAATTTTTGAAATAATAATGTACAGATTTTATTAAATTTATATTATTTATAATAGAATCTGTATATCATTATATTAAAAGTTAATTATAATTACTAAATCAAGTTTTGATTATAATTAGTAGTAACAGTTAATAATATTTATTAATTAAATTATATTTTCTTATGGTTAATTTATTGTGAAATAATTTTAATAAATTTGTAAAAGTAACTTAAAGTAAGAGTTTTTTGTAATTAATCTTTTTAATTTATTGTGAAATAATTTTAATAAATTTGTAAAAGTAACTCGAAATAAGATAAATAAATATTAATATATTCAAAATATTTATTTTTCTGTAAATAATTATATTAAATATAATGAATAAGATTTGGAATAGAATAGTAATAATATTATAAATTACTTTATTATAATCTATACTTATTTTTTTATGAATAACTAAAATTAATTTATTACTAAATAATAAATATTATATAATTATATATGTATTATATAAAAATATAGTCAAACTCTTCTATAATTATACTTATTTATAATTATATTTTTTTATAATCACTCTATTTTGTTTTTTTATTATATATAAATATAATAAAAAAATCTTTATAATTATATCTTTTTTATAGTCATATTCTCTTTATAATTATCAAATTTTATTTTTTTGAGAATAATGACTATAAAAAATTTAACTATAATATCACAATTTTGTTTTATATATAATACTAAAAAAAGTATTTGTAATATTATTAATTTTTATATTACTTTAATTGCTAAGTATATATTGAAAATATTAATAAGATACAAAGTTTTGAATCATCTTCAATATCTTGATTATTATATTATTGTTTTTGCTATTTATAAAATAGTGAGTATTTATATTTTAACAATTATAATTATTATGAATATATAAAGTAAATAAATACTAAGAGTATCATTAGTATGATCTAGTACAAAAATATTAATACAATCAAACTCCTCTATACTTATCACCCTTGGAAAAGCAAAATTTGATGATTATAAAGGATATGTAATTATAAAGAAATTTTTTTACTATATTTATATATAAATAGAAAAGCAAAATAAAGTAACTATAGAGAGATGTAATTATAAATAGGTGTGATTATAAAGAGATTTGACTGTATATGAAAAATAAAAAGTTAATATAACTAAAAATAAAAATCTTTTTTAACAAAAAATTTCTTTCAAATATCTTTCATTTCTTATATCTTTTTATATATTTCAAAACTTGTATTATATCTATATTGTATTAAGCAAATTGTTATTATTAACTTTGAACTTTATATTATATTGTACTAATCAAATTGTTATTAAGCTTTATATCATATTGTGCTAAACAAATTGCTATATTAAAATTATTAAAATTGAATTTTAAGTATTTTTAATTTTTGTTATTTGAATTTTGATTGTTAAAAATATTCTTTACTTGTGAGAAGAACAAAGTGAAAGAGTCTTTGTTATTATTATTACTAATAGTATTATTTTAGCATTGGAAAGCTTTATACAAGTACAAAAAATTAAACTTTTAAATATCTTTTACTATTTTTTATTATTCTTTTATACTTTTTGATCTTTATTCTTTCACAACTCTTTTATATTATTATTCTTTTAGTAAACACAATTTCTGTAAAAATTAATATAGATCTTAAATATCCCTTTTTTTTAATATTTTTATTATTCTATTATTCTTTTCTAATTCAGATTTAAGTTTATAAGCTAATTTAATGATTAGTAAACAAACTTGTAACAATATGATATAGCTATATTTGATATTGATAAATCACTCAATAATAATTCATCTCACAAAGTACTATTCAAAAAAACTTCATAATTCAATTATAATATATTATATAACTTTATAATTATATTTATAAAATTGAATTATATTGGATAATTCAAGAAAAACTTTAATTCTAATAATAATAAAGTCAAAAATAACTGTTATAATATGATAAACCAAATTATTCACTAAGAATTTCTACTCAAAAAAAAAGATAAA